TAGTCACCACCAGTATAGCCAGTCACCAACAGTCGAACGAGTCACCACCTGTGTATAACAGTAAAATACTGTTGAAGCCCAATCTTGTACCTCTAAACTTCTAACCTAGCCCTAACTCAAACACTAACGCTGAAAACGGCGTGAAAGAATCGATACTTATAGAAAAAACTAGATGAACAGATTCACGTAGCTGTGAAGGGCCAAATGGTGATTGGTGAGTTAGGGCTAGGTTAGAAGTTTAGAGGTACCAGATTGGGCTTCAACAGTAAAAATAAATTCAAATTATAATTAACATCCAGCGATAAGAGGTTAAAAATGGGGTTTGAGTTTGGGTTTGATGGTTAAGCTCTAACACTTTTTGTCTTTAAAAATTTAAAACAGGGTTCTATCAATTATGATAAATCATTTGTGTTCTAATATTTAATTTTTGATGTTCATTTTTAAGCTCGCTCTTATATCCATATTGATCTTTATGTTTTATCCATCTACATAGATCTGTGGAAAATAAATTTTTCTTCTTTTCCTTAAAAAAACAAATGCAGAAAATTAAAGAAACAAATATGAAAGGAAATATTTCCAATTTATAACTAGAGAATAGAAGTAAAGAAAAGAAAACCATTAAAAAAAATCTAATTATTTCCCTTGCAATGTAGATTCTCTTGAATGCATGTAAGGGAGGTCACTGGGATCAAGTTCTGTCAGGTTTGAAGGGTCCGTTCGTCATTAGAACCGATTCATAATCAGTTCAGTGATGTGATGTGTTTTTTTTTTTTCAGAACGATTTCAAGATTTGAAGTAAATATACAGAAAATATTTTTCTTGTAAAGATTAAAATGAAAAAAAAAAAACGCGTTGTAAAATGAAACAAAATGAAACAAAGAAAATGAGTGTATGTATGTGATATATTTTGATGTTTAATGCCTTAGACCAGTAACCCATGCTTGCTAGATACACAGATGTCAACTATTGTTATAAAATTATAGAATTTTTTCTTCCGATTCGTCGTAGAATTTTTGTTTTGGATCGTTTCTTTGCCCACTTTTCCCCCTGTAATGCGCTTACAGGAAATCTGATATTGGAAAACGCATTTTCTCAGAAATATCTGGCCCCTAAAGTGCCCTCAGGTCACGGAAGGTCAAGGTTTATTGCCGATTGGGACCTGTGAATGTTGCATCTACATTTGTCTTATGCGGCAGTTTCTGGGAGTCGTGGTTCTAATTTGACGTGTTACTTCAGGAAGTGTTACTCTACTTGTATGAAGGGTTACTTCAGGAAATGTTACTGTACTTGTATGAAGGGTTACTTCAGGAAATGTTACTGTACTTGTATGACATGTTACTTCAGGAAATGTTACTCTACTTGTGTGAAGGGTTACTTCAGGAAATGTTACTGTACTTGTATAAAGGGTTAATTCAGGAAATATTACTCTACTTGTATGAAGGGTTACTTCAGGAAAAGTTACTCTAGTTGTATGAAGGGTTACTTCAGGAAATGTTACTCTACTTGTATGAAGGGTTACTTCAGGAAATGTTACTCTACTTGTACGATGGGTTACTTCAGGAAATGTTACTCTACTTGTATGAAGGGCTACTTCAGGAAATGTTACTCTACTTGTATGAAGGGTTACTTCAAAAATTTTTACTCTACTTGTATGATGGGTTACTTCAGGAAATTTTACTCTACTTGTATGACGGGTTACTTCAGGAAATGTTACTGTACTTGTATGAAGGGTTACTTCAGGAAATGTTACTGTACTTGTATGACGCCATAAGCAGTTGGCTAAAAGACTCCTCTGGATTTCTATCGGAAATCTCTTCTTCTTTTTAAATTGTAAATGTTAGAAGGCATCTCCTCCAACACAATTAAGTTTAACGTATCAACCACTTATGCGTCATATTGACCGTTTAATCCGATCTCAGCCTGCTTTTCTTTTTGGATTTGCGTTCCAGCTATTGAGCCTCAACTGCCTGGGGGTTCAAACTTTAGACTTTTCGGTTTAGCAACAATGAGCCTTATCGACCCTACCACACGCCCACCAAGCTGACCTGACCACACTGACCTGACCATGTTAACCCTCCAACCCGAACATGCCAACCCCTACTCCAGAAAATGTTACTCTACATGTGTACGATTACATTAACTGTTGGCCAAAAACGAACCCTTTGTTTGGGGGACTTCAGGAAATACTACTCTACTAGTGTAAGGCGGCACATGATGTAGAACAGTGAGCCACTCTCATTGGTTTGGTTATTGAAGCAAAGGTTGCAGGTATATGTTAGCTGGTCCACTATGTTTTGGGTCGATACTAGATCTATATTGGCTGGGTTATTGAAGCAAAGTTACAGCTATATTTTAGCTGCTACTAGATCTATATTGGCTGGGTTATTGAAGCAAAGTTACAGCTATATTTTAGCTGCTACTAGATCTATATTGGCTGGGTTATTGAAGCAAAGTTACAGCTATATGTTAGCTGGTCTATAATTTTTGGTCGATACTAAATCTATATTGGCTGGGTTGTTGATGCAAAGGTTGCAGCTATATGTTTCATGGTCCACTATGTTTTTCGTCGATACTAGATCTATATTGGCTGGGTTATTGAAGCAAAGGTTGCAGCTATATGTTAGCTGTACTAGATCTATATTGGCTGGGTTATTAAAGCAAAGGTTGCAGCTATATGTTAGCTGTACTAGATCTATATTGGCTGGGTTATTAAAGCAAAGGTTGCAGCTATATGTTAGCTGGTACTAGATCTATATTCGCTAGGTTATTGAAGCAAAGGTTGCAGCTATATGTTAGCTGGTACTAGATCTATATTCGCTAGGTTATTGAAGCAAAGGTTGCAGCTATATGTTAGCTGGTACTAGATCTATATTGGCTGGGTTATTGAAGCAAAGGTTGCAGCTATATGTTAGCTGGTACTAGATCTATATTGGCTGGGTTATTGAAGCAAAGGTTGCAGCTATATGTTAGCTGGTACTAGATCTATATTCGCTGGGTTATTGAAGCAAAGGTTGCAGCTGTATGTTAGCTGGTACTAGATCTATATTGGCTGGGTTGTCAGGGGACTGGATACGCTTGATTGCTTTCTGTTTTAATGAGGAATGTACACACAAAATGGCCGCCATCGATTAAAATCACTTTTAATAGCCGGGGTGTGGGGTGGCTATGTGGGGATGTGTGTGTGATGTTTGGGGTTTGATGGGGGTTGTTGATTTGATGGGTGTTGTAGGTTTTGGTTGGGTTTTTAAGTTTGATGGTTTGGTGGAGTTGTAGGTTTAGTGTGGTTGTTGGTTTCAGGAGGTTGTGGGTTTGATGGGGTTGTAGTTTTGGTGGGGTTGTATGTGTGACAGTGTCGTATTTTAATGGTGTTGTATGTTTGCTTAGTTTTCAAGCACGGAATAGAGTTTTACGGGTGTTGTGTAGATCTCAAGAACACACACTCAGTATCCACGGGATATCCACTCAGCATCCACGGGGTATCCACTCAACATCCACGGGATATCCACTCAACAACCACGGGAAATCCACTCAACATCCACGGGATATCCACTCAGCATCCACGGGAAATCCACTCAACATCCACGGGATATCCACTCAACATCCACGGGAAATCCACTCAACATCCACGGGATATCCACTCAACATCCACGGGAAATCCACTCAACATCCACGGGATATCCACTCAGCGTCCACAGGAGTTCTTCTCCAGGTGCTTGTTTAATGATTTTACTATGAAAATTGCAATGGGATTTTTTTAAAATACGCCATTGTCAAGTGTTTAAAAGGACATGGGGTATTGGTATATCTACACATCCCTACACCATAACGATGTCTACCCATCCTCCTCATCATCTCATGATGTCTACACATCTATGCATCCTCGTGATGTGTTACCCCCCCCCCCCCCACAAACACATCTCACCCCACAAGTTCCCCCATGCGTATTATCCCTGTACCCATTTACCCGTCCCCCGTTATCGATCACCGAAACTGGAACTCAATTAGGCAGCCATTAAATAAAACTGTCAGGTCAGATTAATTAGCCAGGTTTTTCAAGTTGAGATTTTTCAAGCCTGATAATTCGCTAACCCTAACCTGATTTAAAGAAAATTCGCTAATCCTAACCTAATTTAAAGAAAATTCGTTAACCATAACCTAATTTAAAGACAATTTGCTAACCCTAACCTAATTTTAAACCGATTTTCAAAAACTTAAAAAAATAATTAAATAAAATACAACCTGGTTTAGATGTACAATCCACACTGCTTATAAAATTGCGGAATATCCTAGATTAGTGTACATCAAATAGCCACATTTATTCATTCGCACAATATACCCACAAGGAAATGTTTTCAAGTTTTGTGTTATAGGCGGGTATGGCTAATCGGAAATAAAACAGCGGCGGGGCTTTAAGTATATACCCCCCGGTGAATTTTGACAAATGTTTCTCTATATTTACAACAATCTGCGACAGACTTACAATATATACACCCTCAGCCCTATAAACATTTCAGTCTTGTTGAATAAAGGATGGGGGACGCAGTGTTCGAGTGGGTAAAGCTCATGGTTGCTTAACCAGAAAGTCTCGAGTTCGAACCCTCGAACCCTAGGAGAGACAACTCCAAAATCAAACAACTGCTGCCTTGTAGTGTGTTCTTGGTTGGACAAAGACTATGGAAGCAAATCCAAAAAGAAAAGCAGGCTGAAATCGGAGTCAGTGGCCTCAATGGCGCATAACCAGTTGTCACGTATCCTTAATTGTGTTGGGGGCGTGGTCGATTCGGCAAAAACGTATGGTTTAAATTCGAAAAAAAAGTCTCGAGTTCAAACCCTCTGGCAGATAAAGCTCGATCCCTTCCAACACTAAAAGTTAAGAACGAAGAAGGAAGAAAGAAGAATAAAGGATTTTACATCAGCCTATTGAAGTTGGGCTTGGCTTTGTTCGTTATTGAATTATACAGACATCAAAACGTGAATCAATGAAGCAATTTTATATTAAACACCAGTTTATTGTATAGATAAGCCATTATATAAAAACATCAATTATTTCCATACGTTACTACGCCATCCCCGCCCACCTAACAAAGGTAAACTTTATCACTAAAGGGTAAATTATTCGTAAATATTTTCCGAGGTAAATTATATATTTGTATAAAAAGCTGTACTGGTATAGTCAAGTAAATGTCAAGGTAAATTTCACTCGTGTGCTGTCCAACTTGCCCATGAATGACCTTGAAATGTCCAAAATCTCCTCTACATGTGACCTTGACACGTCCCTGACCTGCATTTTACTCATATTATAACCCCCCAGATGTGACCTTGAGATACTCTATTCCCCACTGTGACCTTAATACACCCCCACTCAACGTTCCAAACCGCGACCTTGACCCCACTGGTGTTGTAACCTTGGGATAGTCTACTCTTCGCTGAGTTTCTTCTCCTCCTCGATGACCTTCAAGACTCCGTCCTTGAACTCCTTCAGCAGCTCGAGCTCAGTCAACCCCAGCCGCCGTTTGTTGGAGATGTCGAAGACCCCATCACGTGACTCGGTGTGTTCGCCGTCAATGCCTCGCACGTCCATGTTCAGCCTGGGTTACAGGGGTCATATAGGGGTCAAAGGGGTTATATGGGTTATATGGGTCGTAGGGGTTGTAGATGTTATGGGGGTCATAGGGGCCATATGGGTTATAGGGGTCATAGGGGTTATAGGGGTCATGTGGGCTGTAGGTGTTATACGGGTTATATGGGTTGTTGGGGTTACAGGGGTTAAAGAGATTGTAGGGGTTATAGGGTTTTTAGAGGTTACACGGGTTATATGGGTTATAGAGGCTATAGGGGTTAGAGTAGAGGGGGTTATAGGGGTTATGGGGGTTATAGGATTTATAGGGGTTATAGGTGTTACCCGGTCATACGGGTTACATGGGTTACAATGGTTAAAGGGGTTACAGTGGTTATAGGGTTACAGGGGTCATATAGGGGTTATAGGGGTTATAGTGTCATAGGGATTACAGGGGTTATAAGGGTTGTATTGGGTTATAGGTTTTAGGGGGTATATGGATTGTATGTGTAACTATTACAAAAAAGAGATTAAAGTTACGCGACAAGGTATCTGCCTTTCAAGAGAATATTTTTTTGAAAAGAAAAGCTTTTGGGAGATAGATGCTCTAGTGTTTAGCTGTGGTCTGGGTCAGTATAAACAACAAAAGACATAAGGGCTACAGTAGGAGACACATAAGGGCTACAGTAGGAGACACATAAGTGCTACAGTAGGAGATACATAAGGGCTACAGACACATAAGGGCTACAGACACATAAGGGCTACAGTAGGAGACACATAAGTGCTACAGTAGGAGACACATAAGGGCTACAGACACATAAGGGCTACAGACACATAAGGGCTACAGTAGGAGACACATAAGGGCTACAGTTGGAGACACATAAGGGCTACAGTTGGAGACACATAAGGGCTACAGTAGGAGACACATAAGGGCTACAGTAGGAGACACATAAGGGCTACAGTAGGAGACACATAAGTGCTACAGTAGGAGACACATAAGGGCTACAGACACATAAGGGCTACAGACACATAAGGGCTACAGTAGGAGACACATAAGGGCTACAGTTGGAGACACATAAGGGCTACAGTTGGAGACACATAAGTGCTACAGTAGGAGACACATAAGGGCTACAGACACATAAGGGCTACAGACACATAAGGGCTACAGTAGGAGACACATAAGGGCTACAGTTGGAGACACATAAGGGCTACAGTTGGAGACACATAAGGGCTACAGTTGGAGACACATAAGTGCTACAGTAGGAGACACATAAGGGCTACAGACACATAAGGGCTACAGACACATAAGGGCTACAGTAGGAGACACATAAGGGCTACAGTTGGAGACACATAAGGGCTACAGTAGGAGACACATAAGGGCTAGAGACACATAAGGGCTACAGTAGGAGACACATAAGGGCTACAGTTGGAGACTCAAAAGGGCTACAAATAGATACACAAAGACTGCGTTATAACTTACTTGTTTATAAAGTGGTGAAAGTCTGGAGACTGAGACAGGTATGGGATCCTGATGTGGACAGATGCCCTCATGGCAGTGCCCAGGTTGCTAGGGCAGAAGGTCAAGTATCTGGTGGAGAATAGAGGGTTCACAGTTAGTGACATGAAAATTGACCGTTAGTGACATGAGTTGATAAGACATGAGGCGCTGACGAGACAGGTAAATGATGATCAGCGGTGTGAAGACAGTCTGCGATACATGTCTCCATTCATACTGGCGAGACAGCTCTTGGCCAGCCTACGAGCCCAGATCTGACCTTGACCTAGGGTCTGACCTTGACGTTTGATTTGAGCATCCGACAAGTGCTGGCAACGGATGCTGTCTGTCACAATTTCAACATTTCTGTAGACGTCTTCACAATTTCAACATTTCTGTAGACGTCTTCACATTTTCAACATTTTTGTTGACGTCTTCACAATTTCAACATTTCTGTAGACGTCTTCACAATTTCAACATTTTTGTTGACGTCTTCACATTTTCAACATTTTTGTTGACGTCTTCACAATTTCAACATAACTGTAGACGTCTTCACAATTTCAACATTTTTGTTGACGTCTTCACAATTTCAACATTTCTGTAGACGTCTTCACAATTTCAACATTTTTGTTAACGTCTTCACAATTTCAACATTTCTGTAGACGTCTTCCCACAATTTCAACATTTCTGTAGACGTCTTCACAATTTCAACATTTCTGTAGACGTCTTCACAATTTCAACATTTCTGTAGACGTCTTCACAATTTCAACATTTTTGTAGACGTCTTCACAATTTCAACATTTCTGTAGACGTCTTCACAATTTCAACATTTCTGTAGACGTCTTCACAATTTCAACATTTCTGTAGACGTCTTCACAATTTCAACATTTCTGTAGACGTCTTCACAATTTCAACATTTCTGTAGACGTCTTCACAATTTCAACATTTCTGTAGACGTCTTCACAATTTCAACATTTTTGTAGACGTCTTCACAATTTCAACATTTTTGTTGACGTCTTCACAATTTCAACATTTTTGTTGACGTCTTCACAATTTCAACATTTCTGTAGACGTCTTCACAATTTCAACATTTCTGTAGACGTCTTCACAATTTCAGCATTTTTGTTGACGTCTTCACAATTTCAGCATTTTTGTTGACGTCTTCACAATTTCAAAATTTTTGTTGACGTCTTCACAATTTCAACATATTTCAACATATCTGTAAACGACAAACGTATCACGTTACAGATTTCTGGCCTTGAACTCAATCTCCTGATGACGTCATTTACAAACAAGAAATAAATATTTACAATTTTTTCTGTACAAGCCTATGTTTAAGCTCGTAAATAATTTTGCCAGAGAAGCTTTTTTATACCCATCGATATTGGATTGCACTAAAAGAAAAATCCCGGCTTAGCTATCTTAGAAGTCGATTTAGAACCTCGATACGATACACCATGCCCAGTTTGAAAAGTTTAGGTAGCTTTTTTTAACAGTCGATCGATCGTTGCTGGTTTCTGAATGTCAAGGGCAGATAATTAAATGACATAATTTCTGATTGTTAAGTTAATACAGTTTGAAGGTAGCAGAAACAATTTCTAAATGTTAAGTTAAAATAGTTAAGTAGTGACAGCAATAATTTCCAAACGCTAACGTCAGAACTTTAATTGTAGAAGAGAAAATTTCTAAATGTCAGCGCCAAACAATCTAGTGGCGAACAACAGCATTTGTGTGTGGTCAAACGAACAACAGCTTTTTTGTTTGGTCAAACGAACAAAATCATTGTGTTGTCAAAAGAAAAACAATATTCCTGTGTGGTCAAGCGAACAACATCTTTTCTGTGTGCTCAAACGAACAACATCTTTGTGTGGTCAAACGAGCAACATCCTTTCTGTGTGGTCAAACGAACAACATATTTCTGTGTGTTCAAGTCATTTAATATAGTTGGCAAGTGATAAGAGAAAGTGTCTTTAGTTGTCTAGGGTTAAGGTCAGGTTTTAGTTCGTTGTCTACTGAAGGTAGGTTTACCTAAGGTGTGGTGTTCTAAAAGTGGGTTTTACTAAAAACCCTAGCCCTAACAATACGACTCAAAACACCCTGCTTCTAACTAAACCCCCTCCCACCCCATAGCCCTAACAATACGACTTAAAACACCCTGCTTCTAACTAACCCCTCCCCCCCACTCCATAGCCCTAACTATACGACTTAAAACACCCTGCTTCTAACTAACCCCTCCCCCCCACTCCATAGCCCTAACTATACGACTTAAAACACCCTGCTTCTAACTAAACCCCCTCCCACCCCATAGCCCTAACAATACCACTTAAAACACCCTGCTTCTAACTAACCCCTCCCCCCCCCACCCCATAGCCCTAACAATACGACTTAAAACACCCTGCTTCTAACTAACCCCTCCCCCCCCACTCCATAGCCCTAACTATACGACTTAAAACACCCTGCTTCTAACTAACCCCTCCCCCCCCCCACCCCTAGCCCTAACTATACGACTTAAAAACGACCTGCTCCTCAACAAACCGACCAGCCCTTCTGGTGAGACAGACAAAATGTAGTTGTGTTTGACGAGATCAGCTCTGGAACTCCTGGCATCTGATGTCTACAGAGTCCGCTCTAAACGTGCACAAAGCGAAAGTAGAGAGAAAACAGAATTCCCACACAAAACAGAATTATCCGAGAACAAAACTGAGCGAGCCCTAAGGTTATTTTACTTTAACCGGCAGACCGACAGACAGACAGACAGACACAAGGCGCACAAAGGATGGCGACATGGATCCCAATCAGAACAATGACACGTGCAAGGGAGGCAACTCAAATCTACCTGCTCGCACCAATCTATTATCCTTATCGATAAAACAAATTACGTTTTTCATCCCCCCCCCCACCCCCACCCATTCAAGACGAGAACCGCTTCACACAGAAATAAAATTAATCCGCTAAAAATAGTCCGCTAACAAGCGGTGTCAACAACCTGCTCGATTTTCTGGAACTATTTCTCTGGGTCTTTGATCTACCAGACGCGGGGAAATCGCAGGTGGAATTAGAAACACCTGAACGGTTTCGAGGCTATTTGGATAGCGTTGCGCATTTTTTATCTCACCGCTTAATGAAATTCAATATTTACAATCCACGGCAGTGAAACGTATTCGCCTAGATTGATCCTAAAATTCTGCTATCCTCTCAAAAGTAGGTTACATTTTTTGCGTTGATTTTAAAGTTATATCTGGGATCATACGTTGCATTCAAATAAGATTATTTTTTTTTAAATTACATCAGCGTGAAATTAAACCAGATTTTAAAAAGAAAATTATTACTCGCGGGCGTTTTTAGTTTTTAATTAAATTTCTACTAAGTTTAAATTAAAAATTCCAGAGAAAAAATACAACAAAGTCCACCACATTTACCACATTTTCACATATCCTACCCCATTACATTTTTAATAAAATCATAATACTCTAAAGCTTTGAATAGAGATACTAAATACGTATAGTATATAAGACCATTTTTATTGTTTACGTTAACACCAGCGATCTAAAAAGAGATGTCGCCTATTGATCAGACCCATCAGACAGAATGTCACTGTTTCAACTTCGGCGATGTTCGGTTACATGCATTCATCTCCCGCGGTCAAACCAAATCTTGAAATAAATAAAACGACTCCCGAAGTATAGTTTTACCCAATCGTGTATACGGTAGTGTCAGCATGACTCAGGATGTTCTACCCAAATTGTGTATACGGTAGAGTCAGCATGACTCAGGATGTTCTACCCAAATTGTGCATACGGTAGTGTCAGCATGACTCAGGATGTTCTACCCAAAGTGTATACGGTAGTGTCAGCATGACTCAGGATGTTCTACCCAAATTGTGCATACGGTAGTGTCAGCATGACTCAGGATGTTCTACCCAAAGTGTATACGGTAGTGTCAGCATGACTCAGGATGTTCTACCCAAAGTGTATACGGTAGAGTCAGCATGACTCAGGATGTTCTACCCAAATTGTGCATACGGTAGTGTCAGCATGACTCAGGATGTTCTACCCAAATTGTGCATACGGTAGTGTCAGCATGACTCAGGATGTTCTACCCAAAGTGTATACGGTAGTGTCAGCATGACTCAGGATGTTCTACCCCAATCGTGTATACGGTAGAGTCAGCATGACTCAGGATGTTCTACCCAAATTGTGCATACGGTAGTGTCAGCATGACTCAGGATGTTCTACCCAAATTGTGCATACGGTAGTGTCAGCATGACTCAGGATGTTCTACCCAAATTGTGTACACGGTAGTGTCAGCATGACTCAGGATGTTCTACCCCAATCGTGTATACGGTAGTGTCAGCATGACTCAGGATGTTCTACCCAAATCGTGTATACGGTAGTGTCAGCATGACTCAGGATGTTCTACCCAAATTGTGTATACGGTAGTGTACGGCGGCTGTTGGCTAAAATGTGTGGCTGACTACTGCAGTCAGCGCCTACTTACAGAAGAAAAACTATTATTGGAACAAACTGGAAACATGGGAATGTGATCAGAAAAAAAACAAATCGATAAACGGCCATGTCTATAATAATATTCCGTGTAGCCATAACATAAGGAGGAAACATAACATTTGTCAATGATACACTGGACAGTTCACCATACACAATTCACCTTTCACCTACGCCAGTAGATGATTCATCCCTCACTACCTCCTGTAGACAATTCACCTCACTACACCCACCATCAGATGATACCCCAAGCAAAATGTTCACAATCTCACCTCTTCCATTACACAATTAAACCCTCGCCACCCCGATTATATGATTTACCCTCCTCACTCAAGCAGACAATTCACCCCTCCCCCAGATATTTCACCCTTCACCACCGTTGTAGACAGTTCACCCCTCCTTACCCGATTGTAGGAAAAAAAGTCACAGGAAAAAAAAACACAGGAAAAAAAAACAGAAAAAAAGTCACAGGAAAAAAAGTCACAGGAAAAAAAGTCACAGGAAAAAAAGTCACAAATATATATTTGCATGGGATTTGTTAATACTTTTATGTATTAAATATTCAGAGAGTGCAAATTAACTTAGGATTAA